ACTTGGTATTAAAAAACCCAGCGACCCCAAAACCCCAATCAAAAACACACTGGGGATAGCACAACGAACACAATGGCAAGTGAAAGATCCTGCTTAGATACTGGAATAATCCAGCAGAACGACAACAGCGGTGTGGACCAGTGTGACAGCAGTGGAGGGCTGTAATTCAGTCATATACCCATTCTCTGTTATAGTACAGGGAACGCTGGGGGCCAAGTGGTAAGACGCTGCATTGCCAACTCATACACAGGCAATTCAAGTCCATTAATTGCTTCTTATAAGAAAGATGCACAATACAATTCCATGTGCTTCACTGCTGGAGGGTTGGCTATGAGTTGGTAACTGTACTCAACAACACATACAACATTTAAGAATCCCTAAGGCAACATGCCTGGCTGTGTGGACATCCGACTCAGAGATGTCTTAGAAGAAAGGCCCAGTAATCCATTTCCAAAAAACCCAACTACTGAAAACACCATGGAGTTCCACCCTCACACACACTGGCTACTCCACAAATAGGAGTTGACCAGATGGCACTGTATCTATGCTATGTATTCTAGATCTATAGTGATGGTCCAGTGCACAGGATTGACTGGAGATAAATGTATCTTACGTGTATCAAAGAGGGGCCACTGAAGGATGTAGTTGCTATTTACCAAGATTCACAAAACTTCATGAGCAGAGACAAGACAGACATTTCTGGAGGTAGGCGGATGCCTTCATCATTCACTGAAAACTATTAGTCATCTAGTGAAACGCTGTCTGCATATAAGAATCGGGGAAGTCAGAGAGAGATCTAGGCTGGAATACCAGCGAGCATCATCATGCCAAACCCACAAGGAAGCCATTAACATGCCCGGTGCCATCAAGGCAAGGGGCCTCAGATTCAGAGACTGAAGAGGTGGGAGGAGAGCTGTTGTTGAAAGCATCATGTTTTCATTCCTCCAGCAGTTACAGGCCCTGTGAGGGCAGGGATTCTGCAGCTGGAAGCACACTTTCCACGCGGCAGGTGTGCGGTGACAGACCACGCTTCCTTGGTCTGCGTTCCACAGCCCCGTTTTTAAGCTCCTTGCTTACTGTGACAGCAGGAGAGGCTGCTGGAGGGCTCTGTCATCCGTCCTGGGCACTCGGATGTACCAGGCACCATGGAACAGGCTAAGCCAGACGCTGAGGACCGGTGGCTCCCATCCCCACAGACGGGAAAGAGAACTCAACCACACTCCAGCCTGGAACGGAACTGGGCTGAGCGTGTGGTCATGGCAGATGGTGTACAGATGGGGGAACGGAGCTACGGAGAAGGATTTACTGAGTCATCAAGAACCATCATCTGAAGATACTTAAAGCTCCTCCCAATCCCTAGTGAACAGCTCTGAAAGGACTTGTTTTTATGGCAAAATTTTTTTAAAGTAAATTCTTATATGGCTTGAGGAAAGAATCAGAATTTTTTTTTTAAAAAGGAGGGAGCTCTGGTGGCCTAGTGGCAAGAAGCTGCATTGCAATCCCAGGGGTGAGTGGTTCAACTCCACCAGAGGCTCTGCTGGAGAAGGAGGGGCAATCTCCTCCTGGACCAGTCAGATTTCATTTGATGGTACACACAAAATAATAAAATTCAATAATTTTTTTTTTTAAAAAAGAAAAAAGTAGAAAGGAGGAGAAGAGAAGACGAAACAGACGAGGCAACCTTCGGAAATTTCTGGCCTGTGGATTAAGAACCACTGATAGAAGACAGGTGACACTTCCTGCGATGTGTCACCCACAGTGTCTAAGGAGGACCTCTGTGGCCCTGGCATCCTTCTTCCAGGGCTGACAGGTTACTTCACACCAGTCCTCAGATCCTGAATCTTCTGACTCCAACAGGCCTATGAGCTAAATGTTCCCATCATCAGACCCTTAAAAGTTCAAACGTTTGGGAATGTATGGGCCTAATGCTATTCTGGATTTACTTTACTCAGCCAAAAGTTGAGTGATGTGTTTTTCCTAGAATAATAACAACAATAAACACTGTCTGCTCAACTTTTGAATTTATCACCTACTTGCTTCACTTATTTTTACAGACATTGTCCAAAACCATCATCAGACTTTGCCTTAAAACTCAATTTCTCTGACACTCAGGTTGTTGTGAGGATTAAAGTAAACAAGGTGTGTAAACAGTACACTGCTGGTACAAAAGAAATGAAAACCAAGCCCAGTATTGTCAAGCTGATTCTATTCCAAGGCCCTCAATCTTAATGGGAGCAGATTGTTTCTCTTTCTGCCCCAGATGAGCTGGTGGATTCAAACTACTGACCTTTTGGTTAACAGCCCAATTATGAAACTATGCCACATGGGCTCCATTGTGCAAACTGAGTGCTCAATAAACGATGAAAAAAACCCAACAACCATTTTTTATCATACAACTTCAATAACCTTTAAGATGTTATTTGTGAACATCCCAGAATAATACCTTGTGAATAGCAGCTAAATATTTATCATCATTCTATCTTCTGGAACTTTTACCAAATAATAGGCAAGCAACAGGTGTAATTTTAAACAGACAACTCCTATCTAGATTCCATAGGCAGCTATTGAGAGTTAAGGCAGGTTCTATCTGTAACTAACAGAATTCGTGAGATGGTGCCTGCTTGTAAGGTTTACAAAGATGTGTACAAAATAACAATGTTGTTATGTATCATCAAGTATGACTTCTATCAACTCTATGAAACAGCAGACCTGGGCCGTGAATGACCCTGTCCAATCCTCGCCATCTCAGAGGTACCAAGCCTACTGCTGTAGCCACGGGGTCAATCCATCTGGCTGGGGGGTCTTCCTCTCGTTCGCTGACCTTCTTCCTGTCCTAGCATGAAGTCCCTCTCCAAGGAATACCCCTTTGAGCACCATGCCCAAAGTATGTGAGAGGAAGTCTCACCACCCTTGCCTCTGAGGACTCTGGCTGCATTCTCTCCATGACCTCTGTTTGTTCTTTTAGCAGTCCACGGGATGGGTATTCAGTGCTCCTCTCCAACATCCTAACTCAAAGGCATCAATTCTTCTTCTATCATCCTTACTCAGTGTCCAGCTCTCAGACACATAGCAAGTGAAGGAAAAGAGCACAGCCTGCATCAGGCACACCTTAGTCTTCAAAGTTACATCACTGTTCCTTCTTCCTCTGGAGGCTCTTAACAGCAGATACAATACATCCTCTGATTTCCTGACTGCTGGTGCCAAGGGTTGATTGTGGATCCAAGTAATACAAGACGATGTTTTGGCATAGGAAAAATTGAAAAAGCTGTTAAGGGGTAAAAAAATTCCTCATCCTCACGTCGATTCTGATTCACAGCTACCCTGGATGGCAGGGCAGGATTGCCCTGAAGGCCATAAATCTACAGGGAATTAGACTATGACGTCTTTCTCCCACAGAGTGGCTGGTGGGTTTCAACTGCAGACTCTCTTAATTCATGTTGCGAGATGATTCCAGGGCTCCTTAAGGAGTTCAACCCACCAAAACCATGGTCTATGGGGTAGAGTCCTGGTGACCTCCACTGAACTCTCCAGGCTTAAGAGGAGACTCCCATTCTGCTCAGTGACTGCTGGGCTTGAACTGTTACCTTTCTGGTTAGCAGCCAACAGACAGCAACTCTTTATGCCACCAGTTATTATGGAGTCACTGCCGGTGGACTCAGACTCACGGCTGACCCTCCACTGGGTTTGAGGCAGTAAATCACACAGGAGGAGACTGCCCATCCTTCTCCTACAGGGCTGCTAGTGGATTTGAATTGCCAGGGATACATGGACTTTGGTTAGCACAACTCCCTACAGACTACACTCTTAGAACTTAAAAAAGAGAGCAAGATCAGAACAAGAGCACAGAGCAGTTCTCAAAATATGCGCCTCACTGGGACTCCTTTGAGGGGCTTGACTGCAAGCTCAAAATGACTTTTCATGATACTCTCAAAAAACTCCACCTCATTTCTGTCGAATAGGAACCAACTCCCAGCTGACCCTCCAGTGAGTTTTCCGAGGAAATAAATCACAGGGGAAGAGTGTATCCATCTTTCTTTTGCAGAGCAGTTGGTGGACTCGAACTGTCTGCCTTTAGGGTAGCAGAGCAACTCCTTACCCACTAGGCTACCAGGTAGCCTTTTCATTCACTCTTTCAGGTGTGTTCGCTGGTGTTTCCAGAGGTACCTGACCTGAAGTATTGCAAGAAACCAAGGACAGAACGAATCAACGGTCTGTGGTGATTGGAACATCGATCAGAATTTCAAAATGTCAAATCAATCCATTCTTTTAATTCTTTCGGTTTTGCTGTAGAACAACTTGAATTCACAAACACACATACATAAAATGTTATTCCTGTTAATATATAGGGCAATTATGATTGGCAAAAGTTTTCAAATGTCTTCCTTCCTATTTCTAATATGGTAAATATCTACCCATGCTACATGTAACACATGTTTAAGGACACACATCAGAACCTTTGGGGAATCTTAACAATGATCTTAATAATACTTAAGAGAGCAAAGAGATCCTGGCAACACAAAGTTCAAGAACCCTTAGGGCAGTGGTCTGGAGCTTTTTAATAAATTTACTGATGATGTTAATGTTCACGGTGAAGTCAAGAAGTGGACACTTGGGAACTGGGTTTGCTGGGGAAGATGATGAACTCAGTATCAGTTTTCGCAGTACCGTCCTCTCCGTCCCTAGAACTCACGGGTCCTTATCCCTCAAATCCTGTCTGCACGGCGGCTCCGCCTGCACGTTCCCCGATCTCCCCACGTATCGGATCAAGGGGCGCAGGGCAGGAGAAGGGAGGGGACATCTCCGCGCCGGGGTTCCCCCTCCACCCTCGGCTGGTCCACCAGGGCCGCGTCGCCCTCCAGGTGACCACTGATGGCCTCCTCCCTTCTACGACAGCTCAGGGGCCCCCGATGCCCCTCCAGCCCCACCGTGCGCTCCCTTCACCCGCGGTGACCCCGCGCCCACGTGACGCCGACCCCGCCCTCCCTGCGCTCCAGCCTCACCTGAGCCGGAGGCGCCCCCGACTCCCCGCCACCTCGGCCAGTCTCCTCCAGCCGCGGCCCTCGGGCGCCCGGTCCAAGCTCTCGCCGAGCCTCCGCAGCAGCGGCTCCCGCAGGCGGCTCAGGGCGGCCGGGGTGGGTGGCGGCGGCCCCGCTGGCACGGCTGGGGGCGGCTGCGAGGTCGAGAGCGCCGGGGCCTGCAGCGGCTCCCCCCACAGCGACATGTCCTGCGCTGGGGCCCCGTGCCGGCCGGGCCGCGGCTTCGGCGCACCTTCCGCTGTCCCCGTCGCCCAGCCCGGGGTCACGGAGGCAGGGGCGGAAGGACCGATCGGGCGGGCGCACCGCGCGCCGAAGAGGAAGCTCCGCTCCCCGCCCCGCCGAGACAGGTTTGCCGGGAGCCGGGCGGCCGGCCGCGCCGGGAGCGCCGAGGGGCGGGGCCTGCGCGGGGGCGGGACCGCACGGGGATTGGGCGGGTCGTGACAGAGGCGGGGCCTGAAAGGGGAAATGGGCGGTGCCGAAGCTCCCAGGGTTAACGGAGCTCTGGACAATGAATTAAAATAACTGAAGAATTGATGCCTTTGAACAGTGGTGTTGGAGAAGAGAACGGAATGTCTATCCATCCTATGGACTTCCAAAAGTACTAATAGATATGTCTTTCAAATTTGATGAAGCTTCATCTCACATACGTTTGGCATGTTGCTAAGAAAGGTTATTCCTTGGAGAGGGACATGGTTGGGAAGGTGGAGGGACATGGAAAGAGAGGAAGAACCACAACCTGGTCGATTGACTCAGTGACTACAGCAGTGAGCTTGATTGTGTCACAGATTGTGAAGATGGCTCAGGATAGGACAGGGTTCCGATCTGTTGTTTATTGGGTCGTAACAGCTTTGCAGGCACCATCTGCAGGGGAGCCCGGCGGGCCATGCCAGACATGTCAAGGGGCGGGGCCTGGTGAGTGGCCGCGTCTGCTCGGTCAGTGGGCGGGGCCAGAGCCCTCGGCGGAGATAACTGGGCCCCTGGCGTTGCGGTCTGTTCGGGGGAGACCCTTGGGCCGCGGGGAGCGTGCCGCGGGCGGGGCCTGGGCGGGGCCGGCGCGCGCAGAAGGGGAAGCCCCGCTCCCGGCTCTCGGCTCTGCGTAGACAGGTTTGCGTCCGCAAGGCGCGCTCCGAGGGATGGGGCATGGGGGCGGGGCTAGGCAGGTCCAGGGCGGGGCCAGGCAGGCCTGGGGGCGGAGCGTCTGCTACCGTGCGTGCGTGCGTGCGTGCGTGCGGTGCCTCCGCGGCCTCCTGTCCGGTCCTCGCGTCCCCGGGGGCGCGCGCTTCAAGCCCAGGAGGCGGAGCTCCGCTTGCACAGGAAGGTCGGGCGGGTGCTGCTGGAGGAGGAAGCGGCGGAGGCTCTATGCCCCGGTGGTTACACGATGGCGAGGAAGCCTGTGGCCTCGGGGCTTCCCGGGACCGTGGGAGGAGCACGGCTTCATGCCGAGAAGCTCGCTCCTCGTCGGGGAGCATGCGGCTCTCCGTCCACGGTCCGGCTGCTGCCCCGGGCTGCTCGCGGGCGCCCAGCGCCGCCTCCAGCGCCCGCTCCCTGGCTGGCTGGACTGTGGCATTGCTAAGAACTACTGCTGGACATCCCAGTCCACTTGGGAGAAGGCAGAACTCAGTGTCTATATATGCTGTACAACAGGGTAATGATGTGTTGGAACCTAATGACTGTTGTCAGCACAAGATCGCCAGGTTTCCCTGGTGTAGGTTACATCCAGCTGTTACTAGGTAACAGGGAGCTGGCTCTGGGTCATCGTGACCCCACATACACCAGAAGGAAACCTGCCCCGTGCTGCTCTATCCTCAGTCTCTCCTGTGCTGAAGTCTGCAGAGTTCATCATCAAAGCAGGTCATGCCTCTTCAGTACACGGAGGGGTGAATGTGGACCCCACCTGAGCGCTCGCTCTCCCAATCTTAGCAATATCCAAGTCTGTTATCCATGGAAAGCAAAGGTACTTTTGGGACTTAAGTGGGACCAAGCAGGAAGCCCCTTAATACAGGGCCTTCCCGGTCAGCCTCTGGTGCATAGGCTTTTTCATTACTAGGACACCGCAGTTTCTCTGTAGCAAAAATTTGGTCCCCAAATTTTATCTTCCTGTTGACCCAGCATTTCTTCCCTCTCTGACCTCCACAGGACTTTACCTTTTGCAATCACTCAACACTCACTCCCTTGCAAGGTTAAAGTTCAGAATACAGTATGTAACCTTGGGAAGTTTGGACTCCAGGTTTATGACTTGCAATAAGTTACCTATTTACCTGCCTCATATGTTAAAATGGACCTGAAGGTGCTTAGTGTTGTTGCCAGGATTTATGCAGTTGATGCAGTAAAGCACTCAGCTCCCTGCCTGGCACAGAAATGCCTGGATTTGTATTTACATAACAGATTCAAAGATTCCTTTCAGACTCAGCTTCTGGGCAAACCCTTCCCAGTAACGTGCATTATCTTCCTGTTTTGCCCTCCATCACTGACATTTTCTTTAGCTGCATGTGCCAATTACGGCAGCCAAGTCTTTTAAAAATTCTACCTTTAAAAATTTAGATTCAACAAAATGAAGCCTGCCATCTGCAAGATGTTGCTGATGCAGCCTCTCCTGTGTGCTTGGGTTAATATGGATTCCCACATACTGAAGAGCCCTCCTGGTGGCGTCTGTAAAGTGCTGAGCTGCTAACTGCAAGGTCAGTGGTTTGAATCCTACAGTTGCTTCCTTGCGGAAAGATAGGCAGTCTTCTCCTATGAAATCTCAGAAATCTGCTGGAGGGTTATCAAACTTAATAACAGTGTTTTAAAGTGGATTGAAACTGCAGACCTTTCTGTTAGCAGCCCTGTGTGATGTCACTACAGGTGTGTACCACCACCACCAGCGGCAGGGCCCCAAGGACCAGCTTAATGTGCGTGCCCATCAGCGATGCTGGCTGAAAGTGCTACACAGATGTGAACCTGACTGCTTGTCCGCAGTGGAGCAGGGACGTCAACGGAATCTCTGAAAATAAAAGTTAGTTATAACTAAGAATTGTTTCCCCTAAGAGTTATTTCCATGACTACCAATTTTCTGTGGGTTAACGTCTGTCTCGTCAGCATTATAAAGTAGCCCTAATCAAAGCCAGTAAGTGAAGACAGCTGTGGACTAGCTGGTTAGAATGCTCGCTACGTTTCAGCCTTAAGGTCTTCTTAACGATGTGATGGTGCAGTGTTGACTAAATCCTTTCTTGGAAAGAAAGGGAGTGGGAATGCTCTGTTGGACAAGGGTGGGGGGTAAATGTGAGAATGCAGAGGAGAGCCTGTACCTCCCCCCTAACCCCACCGCCTGTGTGTTTGGGGAGGAAGGGCAAGGCAGGGAAAGACAAGAGGAAATGGTTTGGAAAACAGGATGGAAAGATAATCCTATGTAAAGACTCCACCATAGTAAAGCTGTGACATATCACAACACAGGGAGCACTGGTGGCTTAGTGGTAGGTAGTAAGGAGTTGCGCTCTGAACCGAAAGGTACATGGTTTGAATCCACCAGCTGCTCCTTAGGAGAAAGATGAGCAGTCTCCTCCTGTGCTATTTACTAACTCTGAAAACCTGCTAGAAAGTCAGCTATGGTTAGGTTCTGGCTTAGCAGTATTCAACAACAACAATATTACAGCTCAGCTGGAGAGATACAGCTGGTTCATGTCTTAGTTACACCTGTTGCTGCTGTATCAGAGATAGCACAAGTGGATGGTGTTAATGAACACCATTTATTATCTTACAGTTTAGGAAGTAGAAAGTCTACGTCCAGGGTACCAGCTGTCTGTGGTTCTGGAGGAAAGCCCTCGTTCCCTTCAGCATCTGGAGGCCAGGTATTCTTGAAGATCTCCATGTGTCTTGGCATCTCCGACGTCAAGGAACTTCCAGGCACCTGGGACACTCTTTACTCCTGGTAATTTTTTTTTTCTTGGTGGTACTGAAGCTTCCCCCACAACTTGATTTTCTTTCCTCCACTCTGAGCTTTTAGGAGATAAATGGTGTCATAGGCCCTACCCCAGGGAAACACCCCTTACATCAGCTCAGGGCTGTGGTGAGATAAAAGGGTGTTGCAGCTAACCCTTAATCCTTTCACAGCTATTAGATTTATCAGATCGTGGGGGATGCTTACATAGCTCTCACATTTTATCACTGCATACATGTGTTTTAGGGAGGAAACCGTTCAAGCCTTGACACCTCAGCACAGCTGGGGAAACAGGAAGGGGACAGAGTCCAAGTCTGAAAAGGAAGTGAAGACCAAGTTGTGTGATGCTCAATGACTGAGTCTTATCGTGCAGTTCTGTTCTGACCATTAGGAAGCATGTGTCCTACGATTGTGCCCGTGTGAAACCTGGACTAGGAAACAGTTGTCCGAGTGAAGCCAGGGAACACTGCATGGTTCAAAATCAAGAAAGGAGTCCATCAGAGATGTATGCTTTCTCCATAACTTTTCTTTTTCAAAAATTTTGTTTTATATCTTATTTTTTAAACTTGCTTACAGACGTCATATACATTGTGTTTCACGCTAGTCTTCATTTCTATACCTTTTTAATCCATATGTGGAACAGATTGTTTGAGAAGCTGGACTTTATGAAGAAGAATGTGACCTCAGGATTGGAGGAAGACTCATCCACCGTCTGCGTTATGTAGATGACACAACCTTGCTCACCAACACTGAGGAGGACTTGATGCACTTGCTGCAGAAGGTCAATATACATTGTATCTCAGCATCAAGAAAACGAAGATTCTTAGCACCGGGCCACTTGTCAGCATCATAGTACATGGTGAAAAGATTGAATTTGTAAATTATTTCATCTGACTTGGATCCACCGTCAACCCCCCATGTGATTTACTGCCTTAGAAAACCCACTGGAGGGTCAGCTGTGAGTCAGTTCTGGCTTGATGCTACACAACAACAACTAATTTATATTCAGTTACTTGCACTATATTAGTCAGTCATACTTTTACAGATCACTTCTTGGCTGCAGGCTGCTGCTGCGTGCATTCAGGCGTTCCTTCACTTTGTAGAGGGGAGTTCTGGTGGCCTTGTGTGTTGGGTGTTGTGTTGTCAACCCAAAGGCAGACGCTTCGAATCCACCATCTGCTCTGAGGGAGAAAGATGGCCGTCTCCTCCTGTATGATATACACCCTCCGGAAATATGAGTTGCCTCTGACTTGATGACAATGAGGTGTC